GCCCCAACCTATCTCCACACCCGTTTCTGCTTTCCTTTTAAGAATCTTTTGTTTTTTTCTTAATGTCATCAACGTTAGTCAACTGCAGTCCAGAGCAATGAAGGAAATTTTTCGGAAGGTTTGCAAACAACTCTTTCTCTCTCCGGATCATCAAACCTTAAGCAGCAAAAGTTTGTGGTATATTGCCAAGTTGAAAACGCATTGCCATGAGCAAATGTAAGCCCCGGTTGTACACCCATGCCGACATCACGTGACGAGACACATTATCGGCCCAACAGCCCACACTATATGCACTTCCAGAATCTACTCTCACTGCACATGGAAGAAATCAATTGACCAAACTCCCAGAGCCGAATATACTACCCAGGCCAGATGCGGCATAATTCTTCCGGCTGATCATTTTGGCCTTATTTTCAAAACAATCTGTGCTTCCTACCATGTGTCGAGACCATATGAGGGTCGTGGTGCGTATTGCTGCGACACACGAGGCTGGGTAGTCCTGAGTTTCCGTCAAACAAACGATCCCCACACCGCCTGTGAATGACACCCGAAACAGGGGAGAGAACTCGGCATGCTGGAGCCACCTCATTGATACGGGACACTAGGACGGCGCAGCTCTAGGCATGCCATAGAATTTGATTGGCTGATGGCAATACACTGTATTGTTGTATTGTTTGTCTGAGTAGAGTCAATTTGCCTTGTGCAGAACAGGCGTGATGGGGTCACCGGATGGGATACTGTGCTGAAATCTGATACTTTGATGTTTTGTAAAAACAGTCCCAGAAGGATAAGTCGTAATAACTCGTTATGTTGCCACAGCAAACTAGATAAATTATGACGTAATCGTTTAGATATCTTCATACCATTGCATCTAAAGTGAAGAGAGGTAAAGGTAAAATCATTGGTATGTTAAAAGTCTGCCTCTGTCTACCCCCTTCTCCCTTTCTACGTCTGCCTGTCTGTTAGTCTGTCAGTCTCTTCCTCTCTTTCTCTCTTTCTTTGTCTGTCTGTCTCTTTCTCCCTCTCTCTGACTCTGTCTGTCTGACTGTCTGTCTGTCTGTCTCC